ACAGCTGTAAACATAGATTATAAAACTTGAAGAAAATTCTAGATGCTAAAAGAAGGAAAACATTCTAATCAGGAAGTAGCACACAAGAAAGCTAGTTAATGTCTCATTACTTAACCTGGACAGAGTACAAAGCTGCTTATTATTCATGCTACCAAACTCTTAGGCTGTCTATATTCTTTTCATGCAAAATCTATGGTGCTTTTTGTTGTTGTTGTTCTGAAGAAAAGTGTGGACATAAAGGATTATGGGAGCCCTGCCTTTTCTATACTCTCTGTCCCCAAGTGGCAGTCACTCCTTAACTCAGAGCACTCATGCAGGATGCCACTGCTTTCAATGTTCTCCATCTATGTGTACACACATGGGCAAACTTCTCTCTCTGCACATACAAATGTGTGTGCACACACACAGGGGAAAAAAAATTCCACTATGTGAAGGAAAAAATACTGGTTTAATTCTCAAAACTGGAGAGGGGATAATAAAACACAATAACTATATATCACTTTTGCCAGTTCATAAACACTATTACGTACTCCTTTATTTTCATCCCAAAACAAGCATCAAGTTCATAGAGAAAGAATCACAGGGATCAAATACTATGGAAACCTCAATACGTCGTCAAAAAGAATTGTCATCATCTTTTTCCATTACTGTATCTTAGATTTTTCTTTGCTACTCCGAGGTCAAACAGATGTGGCAATACAATAAAAGCAAACAGGGAAAGTAGTGAATAGAAATGAAAGAGGTAAGCCAGGCACCAGTGGCTCACGCCTGAAATCCTAGCTACTCAGGAGGCTGATATCATAGGATTGCGGTTCAAAGCCAGCCCAGGCAGGAAAAATTGTGAAACTCTTTATCTCCAATAAACCACCAGAAAACCGGAAGTGGTGCTGTGGCTCAAGTGGTAGAGCACTAGTCTTGAACTGAAGAGCTGAGGGACAGCACTCAGGCCCAGAGTTCAAGCCCCATGACTGACCAAAAAACAAACAAACAAACAAACAAGAAATGAAAGAGGTAAAAAATAGGTAGGCATAACTACTTTGCAAAATGGTTTTAGTATCTACTAATGCCAGTGTCTGCATACAACATTACGTCTGCATAATGAATAAATACATTCCTGGCCTTTTCTTCTTTCCTAAGCAAGTTAGCAAATTTTACTATGGAGAAATTATAATCACCCTCAGGAAGAAAATTACTTCACTTAATAGGTATCCCCACTGGCATCAACTCTGACTGGCATCAACTCTGGCAAAAATAAGCTCCTGGAAACAGCTCTAAAGAAGCTATGGACCACATATTGTTCAGAAAAAGGACTGACAAAGGTGGTAGCAACTCTTCTGTTTGCTTATTTTTCAAGTAAGGTCTTGTTTTTCTTGCCTAAGCCAACCTATTTTATGCTTTGTTAATGTAGCTAGGATCACAGGTGTATGTTATTATGCCTAGCATCCTCTTTGAGATGTAGTCATGCAAACTTTCTCTGAGAAGGCTGGCCTCCTGATCTCAGCCTCCTGAGCAGCTAAGATCACAGAATATGAGTCACACTGCCCAACTAGGTTTACTAAATCTTATTAAACTATGTATGACTCACATTGAACTTTCTTAATATAGTGAAGTTAAAAAGAGAAAACTACTAAAAGAAGATTTACATAAAATATTGGAGTCTTTCAGTATTTAACTTCTATTAGCATTTGGGAAGCCTGAAAGAAATCCTGAAAAGGAACTGTAATTTTTTTTCATCACAATTTTGTTCTCACTGTACAAACAAAACACAAAGTCAGTTTGTTCAGTGGGTACTACCTGAAATTTCAGAGGTCAGAATGACAAAAAAGAAAATTAAGAGATTCACAGAGCTATAAAAAATATTTTTAAAAAAGATTTCTGTAGTGCTGGTCATCATCAATTCACCCATATCTAACCAGTTATGTTTTCTCTCATTATTAGAGGTGGCCTAGTCTTATTAACTAATATTTAATCATGTTTTGTGACTTAGAGCAATATACTCAGCAGAACATATAGTATCTGGCTCACACCAGCTATTTAACATCTTTTAGGTATTTCTCATCCTTTCTTACCTCCTATTTCCTTTGATACTGAAGCTCCTGATCAGAAAGTCACCCCAGACCATCAAACAGAGAAATATCATAAAACAAATATCTCTTGATTATAATAAGCTAAACTGTAAGTTCCCAGTCTGGGTATCTACTTATGCCTTGAGAAGATTCCTAAAACCCAGATCCAAAAATGATCATCTACTTTTTTGCTCCCAGACTGAGCACATAGAGCATTTTTCAAAAGGTGGTCAAATATCATATATATCAAGTAGGCCAGAATGTAATATACAGAATATCGAAAAATCCTAAGCAAATAATATAAAACAATTTACCCAACTAACAGAATATTTGCACTCACACTTATAGTAGGAGGAGCCTTATTTAAGCTAGTCTTAAATGAGCAGATTCCATTAGTCTCATTTGATGGCCACCAGGAATTCTAAGATGAAGTCTTTGCTCATATATGAACTAAAATATACAACCCTTAGCAAGGTGACCTGGAAAGAAAACTGAACAGAGAGAAGTCAGTGTCCTTTATCAACTATACGTTTAAGTTTGGGCTAGTAAATAAAATACAAATATTGATTTAGAACCAAATACAAAGGTAGCCACAATTCAAAATTAATATTTTATTCCTTGGTTACAAGCTGTGCATCTGAGCTCATGTGAAAATGCTAAACGCTTAAACAATGTATTCTTGAATCAAAAACCAAGTTCTACCATAGAGTTCAACTCCATGACTTCAGATAAAGACCATCACTACCATCAATTGAGATCTTCTCAACGGATAAAAAAAAATTGGAAAAGATCAAACTTGAAGATCTAGAACAAAAATTAAATTATATGACTAAGTACAAATTGCTCTTGTTTCCTACTTACCTGAAATTATAGTAACAACTACTGATCCCAGAATGCCCAGTGTTTCTGGCACTAGGTTGCTACAATTTCTCATTTGTTCCACAAACTTACAAGTTAGGTATTATAAAAATGAAGAAGTAAAGGTAGGCACTGGTGGCTTTCACCTGTAATCCTAGCTACTCAAGAAGTTGAGATCTGAGTATACGAGTTCGAAACTACCCCGGGCAGGAAAGTCCCTGAGACATGAAGTAAGTTACTCAGAAAAAGCCTGAAGTGGCACTGTGGCTCAAGTTGTAGAGCACTAGCCTTAAGCACAGACAGACTTAGGATAGCACCTAAGCCACGAGTTCAAATCCCAGGACCAGCAAAAAGAAATAGAAAAGAAAAATGAAGAAATAAAACAAAAAGAATGGCTTACCAAATAGCAAACAGTCATAAAAATGTTGATGCTGTGTTCTGAGTTCAGACCAGCATGAAAAACTCACGTTTTTCTCTTCAACAAGTTTTTTTTGATACTTTAATTTAAAAAATACTGTACAGAGGGGTTACAGTTACATGAGCAAGGTAATGAGTACATTTCCTATCAAGCATTGTTACCTCCTCCTTTGTTTTTCCCCTACCCTCCCTTCCCTCTCACCTCCACAACTATACTAGACACCTCCTCCGCCCGCAACCCCCTCTCCCCGACTAAATTGTAAAGTTCATTTTTCAACATAGTGTCTTGTACATCTCATTGTTACAGTGGGTCAACCTGTATCCCTATTTAAGCATTTTGTTTTTTCCCTTCCCCTCCCCAAGCTAGAGAAGTATATATACAAGATGCAGGGCACCGACAAATACAGTGAAAACAGGTTATACCATGGGGGAGGAACACATTAAGCAACAACAACAAAAAAATCACATGCACTGCCCCCAACACTGTTTATTGCGAAGATATGTTATTCTTTCCAACCTTATCCATGTGCCATTTCATTGAGTTTGTGGCCTCTCTCATTGTCCAAAATACCAAAGCTAACAGAGTTTTCTGCTGTTCATACATATCTGAGGGATTATTTCTTATTCTTTCAGTTTGATGACTACTAACCATTGATCTATAAGATATTTTTAGGATTTTGGATTGTATATACAATTAACTTCACAAAAAGACTGAATAAATATACAACTTGGGGGCCCGCTAGGAAAATGTGTGTTTGGTGAGGTCATTGTGTTTTGCTCCAAGTATATTTTGACTTTAAGTTTGACACTAGGCAATTTGGGATGATTGCTGAAGTTAATTTTTTTTTTAATATTGTAAAAGTGATATACAGAGAGGTTACACTCACAAGAGACAGATAATGAGTATACTTCTGTTTACACAGTGTTCACAAGTGTTTTTTTTTCTTTCTTGCTATTGTTTCTAACATATTTATAACGTACCATGTGATTTTTTTTGTTGCTTCTTTGTATGTTCCTCCCCCACGGTATAACCCCAACATCACTGTATTTGATGTCGGTGCCCTGCATCTTGTATATACACTTCTCTAGCTTGGGGATGGGAAGGGAAAAAACAAAATGCTTAATTAGGGATACATGTTGACCCATTTTAACAATGAGATATACAAGACACTATGTTGAAAAATGAACTTTACAATTTAGGTGTGTGGGGAAGTAGTGTAGTAGTGGAGGTGGGAGCGAAGAGAAGATAAGGGAAAAACAAAGGAGGTAACAATGCTTGATAGGAAATGTACTCATTACCTTGCTCATATAACTGTAACCCTCTGTACAGTATTTTTACAATAAAAAACATATTAAAAATCACATGGTACATTATAAATACCTTAGGAACAATAGCAAGAAAGAAAAAACCACTTGTGTCCCTATCTTGGGGTTCATTTAGCTTAACATCATCTTATCTGGTCATATGTACATAGCTTTTGACCCTTTCTGCTTATCCTAGACATATACTACAGGGTTTTTAGTGTGTGCTATATATAGGCATTATTTCTATACACATCTAAACGGATGGCAGAAACCCAAATAACTTTATGTTGAAAGGAAGATGATCCCTTTTACAGCTTAGTATATTAGAGCTGTAAATGTTTAATATGTACTCACCTGATGCAGCAGACGCTTCAGTTTCAGTAATTGAGTTTTCACAGCCGTACAGTCTTGGACCATGTGCCGAAGGGTCATCTCATCCAGTATCACTGTATTTTCTGGCACATCTACAAACATCTTCTGGGACTGAAAAAAGGGGGTCCCTCCATAGCTTTCAAAATGACCCAAAGGAGATTCTCTATAAGGAGAGCCTCTGGAATGGCAGGAAAAAAGAAAGATATACAATTTCAGAAAAAAAAGATAATGAAATTTTTCAGCAGTCTACAAATAATTTGCCATGATCATAAAGTTTCTGAATTTATACCTGCTTCCATCACTGAATATATTTCCACTGGAAGGCATAATTAACTCTAGCTGTCATTAGAATTATTGTCTGTATCACTTCTACCCTGCCTTTTCTTACACATTGGTTGAATAAAATTTCTTTCTTAAGAACCAGAAAAAACAAATATTATGATAAGGCTTTAGCTAAAAAAATTATACCTAGCCAACATTTTTCCATGGTGTCTGCTTGTTCTTTAGCTTTTGCATTGCTCGTCATCTTAAATTTTCACTGTTTTCAGCCCTGTTAACTCTGATGCCTACTACTTATTAGCCCCCCAGTTTGGACACACCTCTGGACTACCATTACCTAAATGCCTCAGCAAGCAGTTGAGACAGATGAACTATTACTCTTTTGTTTTTAAATTGTTGATAAATCATCTTTCCTAATAAAAAATTAAACAGATTTTACCAAAGGCTGCATCAAGATGCATTACACATGGATGGACATGTTAAATTGAATGAATCCCCTCCTGACAACTATTTGAGGTTAATAGTAATAATAGTATTAATAATAAAGAAATATTCACTAACACCAATATTATTTACACTGTTCTGTAAGTATAGCCAATAAAATCAACCAGAAAAAAATAGGATGCACACAAAGGGAGTCCTTATTTTTTTGTCCACTTAAACTGATTACCTTCAAAATAGGGAGAAACTAAGAGAGGTAACAAAAGATGGGAGAATTTTCACTAGCAAATCTTCCTAAAAGATAGTGAACTACCTCTAACACCTCCACTACCTCATCTTCAAATGACAGATGATCGAACAATGTAACGGAAGATTGGGAAACACTATACACCAACAAAATAAAACAGCCACAGACAGAATTCTGCAAACATTAAACTTGCCAAAAGGAAAATATCAGGTCCAAACAAAAGTTAGCAAAAATAGTTCACAAAATTCCCCAAAATAAAAGTATAAGAAAAATTTTTACAATTCATTATATGTGGTCCAGATGCCAAAATTTCAAGTATCTCAAAAAAAAAACTACAGGCTGGTATTTCTCAAGAACATATACATAAAAATCCTCAATAAAATATTACCAAATTGAATCAGACAACATGAAAGAATAATGTAATATGAACAATTGAGAGCTAATCAAGAAATAAAAAGTTTGACATCTTAAAAAAATCAATACATAATATGCCATACTATTAGGATGAAACAAAGAGTAAAATATAATTTCAATGAAATACAGAAAAAAACATTTGATGAAATTCAACATTAATGACAGAAACACTTAACAAACTATGAATAGAAGGGAACTTCAACATATGTAATTTCTCTCCCTTCTCCCCCATACACGTATATGTGTATGTATATAAATACACATATTACATATGTGTGCACATACAAATATTTTACTCAACAGTAAACTCTGTTTTCTCCTTAATATCTAGAAAATAAATACAGCTATTGGCTTCATCAGAAGGTTTAAAAATCTATAGCAACTGTACAAGAGAAAGAAGGAAAGTATCCATAAAGAGAATTGTAAGGAACTAAGAAGGTTAAATAAATCATTTACATAACACTAGAGCTACTTGGACTATATCAAAGCTCATAAATGAATGAGAAAAGTGAGCCAGGGGCTTATGATTTTCTTAAACTGTAGGGATGGATTCATAAAGAGGAAGTGATTCAGCCAAATGTGCTAACTGTCCAAAGGAGGGAAAAGGACTTAAGAAAACTTCATCTAGAAGGGACAAGGAAGAATAAGGACAAAGACCTCACCTCTAAATGGTAAAGTTCTACAGTTACTGGAAAAAAAGAATCCTTCCTGTAAAAATGCTGCTGGGGCAAAGAACAATCAGGAAAGGGCTGGATTTCAGTTACAGGTAGAATGTAGGCAAATGGGGTCAAGGGTGGTCAAAGTTGTGAGTTTGTAAGGGTGTGAGAAAATACCATATAATATAGTAGAAGTGTCTGGAAAAGGAAGGTCTTGAGGAAAGAGAGGTAGATGATCAACTGTGTTAAGAATGAGAGTAGTAATATGCTGTCAATGAGAGAATATCAGTTTCCAAGGCATAATCCTTTAACTATGACAATGATGAAAGAGTTTTCATCATTGGAGGTTTTTTAAAATATTACTCATCCTCATTATTGGTTCTGGGAGATACAAAAAACTCAACAAGGTCACCAGTAAAGGTTAAACAAAACTGTCACCTACTACTATTAACAAAAAAATCAGTGAACCTGAGACATTAGAAAGCTGTGTTCTAAGATTAGCAATCTCTATAAACATAATGCATTTCTCTCTCACTAAGGAATCAACAATGTGGATGATACAGATTTACAAATGCTAAGCAATTTAATATATATACTCTCTAGAAAGGATTTGTATTTGTGTCTGTTATCTCTTACCATCTTTTTTGCAAAATCATAGTACTACACTTACACATTACAAGAGTATAGAACCCACCATTTAAACAAATAACTAATTTATTCATTCTCATACTCATTTGATCAGAGAACCTGTCTCTTCTACACCTGCTGACATCTAGGAAATAAAATTGTGTTAGTGTGAATGCTGCTTAGTTTTTCTGGCAGATGATGACAATTTCAGGTTGATCATTCCCAAGAACAGAGAGACCTACCTCCAAGTATTTCATTCTATTTTGGACATTCCCATGTTTAAGGTGAAATCTGTCACCTCTTATCTTAAAATGCAGATAATATAGTTTGGCTATCTAGAGTTAGAGATCACATCTAATCATTCCTCCAAATGATCAAGCAATCCTGCTTTGGTAAATTTGAAGTGTAGTTCTTGGAAAATGTCACATCCTATCATACAAGTTTTTACTCATGCCATTTTTCCTGGTGGAATACCCAACCTGCTCCTATAGAACCAAACCATCTTCTGTCTCCACAGCTTTTCCTTTAATGTCAGCTAAGTAAAAATAGTAACACTCTTTTGTCTGTGCTATCCTGCCCACTCCCCCAGAAAAGCCATTGCATGCTCATGGCGTCACTTACACATTACCCTAAAGGCACACATCATCACTGTATCAGTAGCACCACACTAAATGTCTATATTCTGCTCTCTCCTACTTTGTGAGCATTCTTGTGGCAGAAGTATATATATCATTTTTGTATAGAATGGGACAAACAGCCAAAATAAGTGCTGTGATGATATGTACTCCATGCAAGTGCATTCTTTCAGATCATCTCAATCATTCATCACCTCTCATGAATTTTATACCAACAAAAAGATTTTTGGTCTGATCCCATTACTTCATGATCAGCTGAAGAACTTCCTTTCTCATCTGGATTAGAATTTTTGTACCATGGTTTAACAAATATAAGTAAGAAAAAGACTTAAATTTATTTGGAGAAGTACTCACGACCTTCCTACCATAATCCAAACTACTCTAAGAATTCATGTAAAAAAATGTGTTTATCTTATAAAATCAAATCAATCCAGAAGTATATCTACACTCTGTAACAGATTTTCTACTTTGCTTTTGCTACCAAGATCTTGGAAACAATTTTATTTTCTACATTAGGGAGTATACAGGACTGTATGTTTTCCTTTCTAATTTATCTCATTTTCATTAGTTTGCTCCAGAATGAGCTCAAATTCTCTGTGGGTTGAGATAGATAAAAGAGAAAAGTAAGAGTAACAACAAAGGGGTGCCTATGTAAACCAGACACTGCTACAGGCATTTTCATCCCTGATGCTCAAATACTGAAGAGAAAGGTACGTTTTATACATGACAAGCTGAAGTAGGGAGGGGATTTAATAAAATGTCTAAGCTTGCAAGGCTTATCTGTACAAGGTGGTACTTGGATCTTAAGTTTTAATGACTACAAAGTGGCATTACACATGTGGTAGATTTCTAGCATCTTTTCTAGTATTGTCTTCTAATTCTAAAGGGGTTAGTAGAATCTTTCAATTTCAACTTATAAGCAAAAAAAGACAAATCACCTGTTATTAAATTTATGTATTGTTTAGAAAAATTATAAACTTTAACCAGGTCAATATTTAATCATTCTCAAATGAGAACTAAAACAATAAAAATCATACTACAACTTAAAAGTCCAAACCACAGATATACAGTATCTATATTTAATAAAGCTATAATTAGACCAAAAGGGAGCAATTAAATATTATTCTAATAAGTATCATGTGTGACCTGAAATGTTTTTGTGGTACCTCTAAAAGGTAGACAAAATTAGTTTGTGAAGGGGAATTATTATCCAAATTAACCAGATGATAGCAAATGAAAGGTAGGTTAGAATAATACTCACCTGCTCAGGTCACTTTTCCCATGGTGATGATAGTGGTCAGGATGGCTGAGATGGTAATGTTCTTGTCCAACCCACCTCTGAGGTGGCCTTTTCCAAAATCCTTCTTGAGACTGCCGAACATTTCTGTCTGATCGGTCAAAGCGGTTCATATTGTCACACTCCACTACACAGATTCAAAAGCAAAAGACAATAAACATGCACACACTCTACCTAAGGTTACTTTATGGCTGCATAATGAAGGCTGCTGAAAATATTAAAGTAATATTATCACCAACTAGTTTTGCTTGTTTGTAACAAAATGAAGTTTCTAGAAGAAAAACAACTGGTTCTTTTGGTAAAAACTAAGCTTTACATGATTCAAACTCAGAAAAATTGTAATACATTTATGTTACTTTTGTATTAGTCACTTAAATGGAAAATTAACTGCTGCATTATTTTAAAATAAGCAAATCTTTGACATCAACATCATGCATTTCCCTTTGCCAGCAATCAGTTTCAAGTGGCATTCATCACTATTACAAGTTGTTTCTGGTTTCAGAATGAAAATGACAGGGGGAAAAAAGCAGATTTTAGGAACAGTACAGAGTTCATTTCTAAAAATGAATGCCACAATTAGTTTTCTCAGTTTTCAAGCAGTAAAATTAACTTTTCATCACAAATCATTTTTAAAATTAAGCTCACATTTTTAGAAAGTAATATGCTTCTATCTGCCTACCGTAGCGTTTCTTCAAAAAGCTCAAAAATGCTACTGGAAACAAAGCCAGTACTTTGCAACAACAAATAGTGCACTCCCTGAAATTCAAATACCACAGAAACATGAAAAGAATCTATCTGAAACACCCCAAGCTTCTTCACTTACCCAAATACTTTTTCCTCACATATCTGAACACTCTCTAAGAGAGTTACTTTGTACAAGGGAGACATTGTGCTACCAGCTGCCTACTCAGACATAGTTGCACACAAGACACTGCCGAGCAGGCCTTCCTTCCTGCTCAACTCCCAGCCCTCCCTGTGGGAAGCAAGCCCAGTCCGCCCTGTGACTCCATCTTCGCCCAGTGCTTACATAGCTACTGACTTAGGACTGTTACTAAAAATACTATTAAACACTAACCCGCGGAACAGGAAGGATTTCTCCAGTCCAAGAACTACTACATGAGAAAGTTCAAGTCTGGAGTGTGATTAAAAAAACTTCAGATATCCACAGAATTCCTGATTCTTAAAAACAATTCACTTATTTAAAAATATTGTTTTACTTAACTGGATTTGAAATACACTAAGTGTTTTATTATAATACCTCAGATGAGAACAAACGTCCCATTGCAAGAAAAGATGATGCAATTAAATGAAGTACATAAGTTCAATTCTCATATACACTGAGCTCATTTTCTTCAAATGCATAACAACTTAAATAAGCATCTGTTTAGAATACTGAAATTTTGTTTGAATTCATTAAAGATGTCAGTAGGTACAGACAGACATCTTACAGAGCTTTTTTTCTTTTTTAAAAAACATAAAGAGGTATAGGCACTTTTTAAAGTTAACATTTGAAATTATTTCCAACCACTGCTGAAATAAACCCAGATGAATATTTTAAAGGTTCATTTATGAATAAAACCTAACAAAGTAAAAGACATAGCAATTGCTACTTAAAAAATCAATAGAAAATGAGAGTTCAAAAGAAAATTTTAAAAATAAATCTTAAGATTTAAAACTGATTTTAGTTAAATCCCTTTGGTAACGTAATTTATAAACTCATGTTTGAGTTATACTCATGATTTCAGTTAAGTCCCATAAGTATTTCCACTTGGCATTACTCTAGCTTAAGCAATTCTGTATAGTTGATACATGGTATGCATACATACATACACACATACATGCAAACTTGTAAACCATATTATCAGAATCATCCAAAATGTTCTTAGAACAGTATCAACACAGTATACCCAGAGTAACAAAAAGCAATCAAACCAGGCAAGCTAGCCAAGAAATAAGTTAAATACTGTGAGCAGTTACAATGCAGAAACTGATCTGCTACTTTTGAGTCTGCAAAGGTTGTTAGTGCTACATGCAGACTCCGAATTGCATATCTTTACTGACATTCACATTCAACAGTGGGCATTATAACAGCAAATAAGCATTAGAAACAAGTAACTGCCATAACTACAAAAAGACTGATGTTCAGACTGAGACAGATGGCCTAACTATAAAAGAAATGGCTGCTCTAATACTTGGTAGATAGCAAGCTGCCTGTGATTCTATCTGAGGCACCTGAGGGACCCATCAGTCACATGTTTATATACTTTACAACACTAATGTAAGATAACATTAGTGTTTGTTTCTTAGGCAAGATTAAGGTTCTCTGACAGAATGAAATAATATAGAATATATATAGTAATATATATAGTATGTATATATATATATATAGTAATATAGAAAATGGAGAACAAAATAAATTGCAAGATGGAGAAAAATCAAAATTAGTTTCCAGGGCTGGGAAGGTAGCTCAGTGGTAGAGTGCTTGCCTTGCATGCATGAGGCCCTGGGTTCGATTCCTCAGCACCACATAAGCCAAAAAGAAAAAAAAAGCCAGAAGTGGTGCTGTGGCTCAAGTGGTAGAGTGCTAGCCTTGAGCTGAAAAGCTGAGGGACAGCGCCCAGGCCCAGAGCTCAGGCCCCACGACCGGACCAAAAAAAAAAAAAAAAAAAATTAGTTTCCAGAGTCTGACAAGTTAAGAACAGGATAATACATCTAAGGAGGAAAGCTCCTCTGTGTAACAAACAATATAAGGTGCAATGGTGCCTATGGTAATTCCCAAGAAGTAATGGTGACCCTAAAGGCATCCCAATTCAAAAATCCTAAAGCAAGAGTGCTCATCCAAACCAACTACTGGCCAGATTCAGACCTGAACAATGAACTGCAGAGCCCTGTTGGAGAATAAACAGAAGCCTTCTGAAGGGAGTCTCAAGCTCTGCAGGTAACAGTAGATTTTAGTTCTTTTAAGTAATATAAATTATGTAATATAAAAAGCACTTTTACCCTCTGGAGAAGGAAAGGGATCTAAAATAGAAAAGTATATGCTATGAGGATGCCTATTGTATAAGTCATTTTTTTACTACTGAAATAGGAAATTTCCAAAGGAGGAGATAAATTGGAAGTAGTCAAAGGTATTACTGACCTCTTATATTTCAATACAAAATTTACCAGAAATGTAAACTAATAGAATTTAATACAAAGTGCAATTTAATTGGCACTGTAACTTTCTGTAGGATTCAGAAAGTGACTACAAGGACATATTTTTAAACTAAGAAAAATCTAAATAGCATAGATAAAATGAAAATTTGTATACATTGAAAGTATACATTATGGAGTTTGTAAACTTGAGTTTTGTGCTGTGATATGCCAAATACCATGTTTTAGTCTACAGGCAATGAGTGGACATGCAAGAGAAGAAAACCAAAAAACAAAAACAAACTCAACACCTGGCTCTGGTGGTTCACGCCTATAATCCTAGCTACTCAGGAGGCTGAGATTTGAAGATCACGGTTCGAAGCTAGCCCAGGCAGGAAAGTCTGTGAGCCTCCAATAAACTCCAATAAACTAGCAGGAAAAAAAAAAAGCTGGAAATGGGGCTGTGGCTCAAATGGCGCTGTGGCTCAAGTGGTAGAGTGCTAACCTTGAGAACAAAGAGGCTCAGGAAGCGCCCAGGCCCAGACTTCAAGCCCCAGGTCCAGCAAAAAAAAAAAAAAAATCAACACAACTGTGCAGACTTTGGGAAATCAGAAAGACAAGCAATCTCTTCCAAAAGATACTCAATGTAAAAAAGTATTTCCTTCAGAAAGCCCTTGATTTGGGGGGATCAAGGAAAAAGAAAAATATCTTTTAATTTAAAAAATATCCTATTATGTCCCTCCCAAAGAATAACTCAAACTTAGAATCCTTTATTATTTCTCATACCCCACTTTGTGCTCCTTGATTTTCCTGACCCACTTCTTTCTATGACATGTTGCTCCCACCCCCAACCTGACCAGATCTCAAAAGTGAAGTATCTCTTAAATATAAACTTCCTTTAGAACAGAGAACAAAATATACAAAGTTGATTTCAAGATCTGGTCTAACCTATAGCCACATAATCTTCAATAAGCTAAAAAAATAAAATGGAAGAAAGACAGCCTCTTCAGTAAATGATGCTGGCAAAGTTGGTTAAACACCTGTAGAAAACTAAAGCTAGATCCCCATACCCTGCACCAGAATCAACTCCAAATGGATCAAAGACCTCGAAGTCAAAGCAGACACCCTGAAAACATTACAGGAAGGATTAGGCGAAACTCTAGGGATCCTTGGCAAAGGCCAACTTTTTCTTAATAAAAACTCAGAAACACAACAAATTAAAGAAAGGTTAGACAAATGGGATTGCATGAAATTGCAAAGTTTCTGCATAGCAAAGGACATAGAGCTAGGAAGGTCATAGAAAACCCACAAATTGGGAGAAGATCTTCACTAGCCATACAATGGACAAGGGTCTCATATCTAAAATATACTTAGAACTCAAAAAACTAAATCCCCCAACAACAAATCTTCAAAGAAACAACTGCCCAATAAATAAGTGGGCTAAAGACTTAAAGAGAAACTTCTCTGAAGAGGAAATAAGAATGGCCAATAGACACATGATGAAATGCTCAACCTCTCTAGCCATAAAAGAAATGCAAATCAAAACAACATTGAGATACCACCTCACCCCAGTTAGAATGGCTATAATCAAGAACTCTAATAACAACAGATGCTGGAGGGGATGTGGACAGAAGGGAACCTTACTGCATTGTTGGTGGGAGTGTAAACTTGTTCAACCACTTTGAAAAGTAGTATGGAAGTTCCTCAAAAGACTACACATAGAGCTCCCCTATGACCCAGCAATCCCACTTTTGGGCATTTACCCAAACAATCACAAACAAGGCTATACTAAAGCTACCAGCACAACTATGTTTACTGCAGCATTATTTCATAGATATGGAACCAACCCAGATGCCCCTCAGTAGATGAATGGATCAAGAAAGTGTGATATATATATATATATATACATATATTCATACACATACACACACACACACACACACACACAAAATGTAATTCTATGCCTCCATCAGAAAGAATGCCCCATTTGTTAGGAAATAGAAAGACTTGGAAAAAATTATATTAAGTGAAGTAAGCCAGGCCCAAAGAAACATAGGTCCAATGGTTTTCCCTTATTTGCAATAACTAGTATAAGTCTAGGACAAGCAGAAAAGGTCAAAAGCTATGTACATATGACCGTATAAGATGATGTTAAGTGAAATGAACCCCAAGATAGGACACAACTTGTTTTTCCTTTCTTGCTATTGTTTTTAATGTATCTAAAATGTACTATGTGATTTTTTTTGTTTCTTTTGTATGTTCTTTCCCCACAGTATAACCCCTGTTTTCACTGTATTTGGTGTTGGTGCCCTGTATTTTGTATATACCCTTTTCTAATTTGGGGAGGGGAAGGGAAAAAACAAAATGCTTAAATAGGGATACAGTCTGACCCATTGTAATAATGAGATGTACAAGACACTATGCTGAAAACGAACTTTACAACTTGGGGGGAAAGGAGGGAATTGGGGAGGTGGGAAGGGAAAGGATGGTAGAGGAAAAACAAAGGATGAGGTTAACAATGCTCAATAGGAAATGTATTCTACTCATGTAACTGTAACCCCTCTGTACACTAATTTTACAATTAAAAAAATTAAAAAAAAAAGATCTGGTCTAAATTTTCTAAGCTAAGAGCCTCCAGCCATACTACTTTCTAAGGCCTAACCAAGATAGGAAGACTTTTACAGAGGTTTTTGGAATAGCTCTATAAATCAATAATCCACTGCTCCCAGGTCTATAAAAGCTAGTTTACCAGTTTAAGGCAACTCTAGATGCAGTAGTACAAGAATGGAAAAGGCATAATGTGAAGAATTTGACGATGAGTTAAGAGACCATGAATCATCATGCTGGCACACACCTGAAATCCCAGCACTCAGGAGGCTGTGGATAAGAGGATAGCAAGTTCCAGGCCAGCCAGGGCAAAATGACGTGACCCTAGTTCAGAAAACACATGATTTAACTGCACAGGAAAAGAATTCTCACAATCTGTCAACTAAATCTTTACTGTTAATATAGATTGGACTTGTTAACATAGATTGGACTTCTGACTCAGTCCTGTAAGTAAAAAGTGCAAATTCCACTGCTGACTAATATTTAGCAGATGGCTCTCAGTAGAAATTCTGAGACAAATGAGACCCCATCTTTCTTGACTTTCTATTAAAGACTTTACAGCAGATAAAGAATAAGGAACCTCATCACAGACCACTAACACTTGAACATGTAAAAAGAGCTTTAGGGGGAAAAAAAGCAGAATAAAGCTCAGAATAAAATGCCCTTTTCATAAAACCAGATACCTGTGCTATAGTCAAATAAATGATGGAGACTGGACTCTTTTTCTAGATTTTTTTTTCTCTCCCAACCACAATTTCTAAATTGGAAAAATAATTACCCAGAATCATATTTTTAAAAGGTAGAGAAAAAAAAATAAATGGATGAATAATAAATATGTTTTTAGGGGGAAATCAAGTGTACAATCTCCTTTTTTACCTTAAACTGAAAAAATGTTTAAGCCTTAAAAATAAGTTTAACTCTACAAATTAAAGGCCAATCCTATAAATGTTTTACTGACACAAGAACTGTAATGTCAACAGTGAACACCACCTACAGGTACACAGACTCCCCCTCATAATCACCAAAACATTCAAATGTGGATGTTTCTAGATAGTAACTGCCCAACATTCGGTCAACGTTCTTTCCTCCTCTATGCTAACACGAACCCAAATTCAATTATTAGAAATATAAATACTCATTCTCATAGCTTCTTACTTGATAATGTTAAAAGGCTGACTGTTCATAATAAGAACCTGTATTTACATCAAACTCAAATGGAGGGTCTTAAGGTACCAATCATCTTTTAGACAATGAAGCCTCTGATACTGGCAGAATTAGTGGTGTTAAACACCATGAGGGTTCAAAGTGACCAATCTAAACCTCTTTCCAAACTTGAATAATATCCTTATAAGACACAGAAACTAAAAAGGACTACGACCAACAATCAAATGCTTACTGTAAGAAGATCTCCATGTTCATGGGGCTGGGAAGGTGGCTCAGTAGTAGAGAGTTTGCCTTGCATGCTCAAGGCCCTGGGTTCGATTCCTCAGCCCCACATAAGCAAAAAGAAAAAAGCAGGAAGTGGCGCTGTGGCTCAGGTGGTAGAGCGCTAGCCTTGAGCTGAAGAGCTGAGGGACAGTGTTCAGGCCCCACGACCCGACCAAAAAAAAAAAAGAAGCTCTCAGTGTTCATTACCTTCCTATCCTCTCAGTCAAAATGCCTAGCAGGTGCTTTCAGGTCCCAAGAGATACTAATATCATAGGCATTTTCCCCACTTTCCTATAGCATTAAACCTAATTACTGTTTTATCTTTGGTGCCTCTAGAAGCTAAATATTTTATCAATGTTCTACTTTCTTTCAGTGTTCCTTAAGTTCAAAGTACCAAATCCTTGTTTGACTTCTACTAAGAAAAGTCTATATATACATATGTGGAATGTTCCTAGAGTTCCCTCCTCCTTCTCCAAGTCTCCAATCAACACCTCAAAAAATTGTAATTTCCCTTTGATTTTTACTTCTATTTAATGTGATTTTATGTTGTACTCTAAAAAAAAAAATAAGGCAAGATCCAAACTGCTCTATGTGTACTTCCTAATTTAGTTCAGAAAAGACAAAAAGTTTTCAATAGCTTGTTACAATTCTTTCAATAAAATGTATTATCCAGGATGTGATTTATTCCAAGGAAGTAAATTCCTTACTCTATCAGCCTTAAAAATACATGTGGTAGAGGAGGGGGTGGGCAGGACGACAATTAGGAGAAAAATGATAGGAGGGGTAACAAGTTTGAAAAGAAATGTACTTATTACACCTTACTTATGTAACTGTAACCCCTCTGTACATCACCTTGACAATAAAAAAAGAATGAATAAATAAATAAATAAATAAATCGGATTTCAACAGCAGCTATAATATCTATCACTACTGCACTGTTCTATGGGGAAAGCTTGTTCTTTAGCTCTACACAGCATTGTGCTACCAGACAACCCCTGAAATGCCCTCATTATTTCCCTGACTGCCCTAATCCTGGGAGGTCTGCTGTTCCCTGTGATTTTCCTTTCTCAGCACTGGAACTTGGTCTTTGTTGCAGAAGCATCCCAACTGACAGCAGAATCACAAGAAATTGTAACATTCTCTAACCCATGATAGAGTATATATTAATCTGTCTCACCTTGCCAATTTCATCTTTAATAAATTTATAAATCACAATTCCTCTGTCTCATGACTGCAGGGTCTCTTGCTATGAGTAGTACTAATGGCGTTAAGTGGGGACACAGGACTTGCCAAAAGTAGTTAGAAGTGTGGGCTTTAAAACCAGGACTTTAGGGGAGATAATACACCAGTTTTCTCATGTCTTAATGCGCTTTTGTCATCTGCCACAATAACTTGCCCAAAGTAGTCCTGCTCTCAGAATAAACAAACATGGAGAAGACCTAAACCCATTTCCATAAGCTGAATCATTCCAAAGACCAATGAATCTTTCAGATTGATTACACACACACACACACACACACACACACACACACACACACACACACACGTGTCCAACCAGTCAGGCTGGGAAGGTGGCTCAGTGGTAGAGTGCTTGCCATGCATGAGGTCCTGGGTTTGATTCCTCAGCACCACATAGGCAGAAAAAGCCAGAAGTGGCACTGTGGCTCAAGTGATAGAGCACTAACCTTGAGCTGAAGAGCTAAAGAACAGCATCCAGACCCAGAGTTCAGGCCCCACAACCAACAACATCAACAAAAAAGTTCAATCAATCAATGTAACAAATGAACCAGTAGTAAAGTAGGATGCATGATCCCAATACCCAATGAAACTATAGAACCAATAAGATCCCCTATGCTCCTCTGAAAATTCTGTGCATTCTCCTAGGTCCAGGAATAAAAAGATTCCACTTTAGTTTATCTCTGGCCCTGGGGAAGCCTGTAAGACCAGGCAAAATAGGGAATACTTAAATCTCTAGAGTCTTATTTTTTCCCTGGAAACCTCTTATCCCATGAGTATTCCCTAGTACTAGTGGCTCTTGTTAATATAGAAACTCTCCTCTATCAATACTTTATCTCTGAGAAGCAAGAGAACCCAAAAGCAATCTTATTGAACACAGGCCCCACAATATCAGTTACTAACATACAGAGAGCAAGATTAAAAAAAAAAAAAAAGAAAGAAAACAAATCTACCACTGACTTTGAGGTAGAGGTATATACCATGATTTTTATCATTACAGAATTGTAATTCTAACACTTAAGACAACCAGATTTTTGTGTTTTGTTTTGTTTCGCCAGTTCTCTTGAACTCCGGGCCTGAGCACTGTTCCTGGGCTTTTTTTGCTCAAGGCTAGCACTGCACTACTCCAGCCACTTTTCCACCCCTGGCTTTTTCTGTTTATATGGTACTGAGGAATCAAACCCAGGGCTTAGTGCATGCAAGGCAAGCACTCTATCATTAAGCTACATTCCCAGCCCCAAGACAACCAGATTTTAAATATTTAAGGTTATGTGCAAGTGAACCTATTTCTTATCACTTAATATTGATTCTTAGTCTCAAAGGCTTCTTTGAGATTAAGTCTGCAAGTAACAAATATCAAACTGGTTATAGTTAAAGTAGCTCAGGCATATGCTTCTGCAGGTTACTAGTGTCCTTACTTACCATTTTCAAGAGGTGCATCCTCAGGCAGATCCACATCAAGCATAAGGTCATCATCCTCAAGGTCACATGATTCAAGATTATTCAGAATATCCTGTGAACAAATCCAGGTGAAAAAATTCACTATGGTCTAGCTCAAGGGACATATTAATTACAAATTTTACAAATATCACCATATAACTTTTGGGTCCTTGAGTGTATACTCTTTAAAGAGGATACTAGGGCACTGACTCTCTCCTCTGTGTCACTGGCTTACTGACCATTAGGTGAATGGTTTTACTCTTCTATCAATCCTTCGAAGTTGTAATGCTTATAACAGACCCAGTCAAAGGGTCCAATAATTGTGGACTGGAACACCTCCTTTGAGCCCAAACATACCTTTTCCTTTTATAAACCAATTATTGTAGGTATTTTGTTATAGTGATGAAAATAACACAAATGACTTATTTAAAATGTGCTTTGTAAAACTTTTTTCTTAGTCTTCCTCTTTCCTAGAATTTTTTCAAAAACAATGTTTATTTTCACAATTTCAAAAACTTACTATGTTCATATGTTAATATTTATTCTTATTCAAAATAACCTGTTATTTATTAATATGATTTTTGTATACTATAAAACTAAGGCAAAGAACTAGCTTAGTAGGATGTAAACAATGGTAATCTGGTGCCTGTGTCCACGCTTTTAACAACTTCCTTGATACTATAATCAAAAATAGTAAAGAATCACTTGTGTAAGGCTGTTTCATAAATTCAAGGAATTGACTAGTTATGTAAAGTAGTTAAATAGTCAGCAGCAACTCCTTATTTTGTTTCCTCTATCTTGTACCAAAGTCACCTCTTTCTATCTTCCTTCAGTTGGTTACCACTTCCTAGGCTTGATTTAACATGTTTTTTTTTTTCCGTGATAAGACTAGAGTATACCAACTAGAGTATACCAACTAGTTTATGAGCAACTGAATAGACAAAAATTAAGTTATGGTAGATTTTTGCAATGTAAGAACTAAAATCAGTATGGTAAAACTTCTACTTAAATTAAGTAAAAGGTTTCCAAATCCACTAAATTGAGATGATGGCCATGAAAAAGACTACCAGAAGAGGAAGACTTATTTTATCACAGGTAATATGAATGAAATTACACTATTTCCTATGTCAGGTGTTACAGATATTTCCAATTTTTGTATTGTCGGGCCATCTGAGGACTACAAGCAACTAAAATAATACTAATTTTTTATAAAAATTCTGAGTAGCTACCTATCATCAGTTCAAGAAAGGGCTATGTCCCGGAATCTCTTTCCATCATGAAAATATCCATTGTCCTTAATATATAGTCCTCACAAAAATCAAGTGAAAAGATGAACAAAAGATGAACTGGCAATAGGTTTAACAATTTACAAGTATAGAACAAGTATCTCAGTAAATAGAAAAGAATGCTAAATCAATATTGATTTATCACAAAGAATCTTGCTTTCATCTATACTAGAGAACAGAATAGGTTCACACATACTTTCTAGAGTTCAGTTTATCAAAATTTAGGCTCAAGCCTTTTTAAAATAATAAAATTGTCCTCCCTAAGATTTTATCCTTTAGAAATAGACAAGTGAATAAAAATGTATGTATAAAAGTATGGCTATTGTTCAGAACTTCAAAAAGAAAAATGCCTAAATGGCTAAAGAGAAGTACACAAAGTATGTTATTGCTCTTTAAGTGATAAAAATATAATAAATATGGAAAGGGATTAAGTAGGGGAATAGCTAATTAGGTTATTTTTTAATCTTTGCTTTTAAAAATAATGTTTCATATCTGGCCAGTACATGTGAAGAGAATTTCCTTTTTTTTCTGGCTGAAGACAATCTGTACATATACCCTAGTCAGGCCTTCCCCAAGTTTGTCCCCCTCTACTGGCTAGGGGTGTGAAGGAAGATCCCCCCCAGCTCATCCCTAATAATGTTCTTTTTCTTTTTGAGACAGTTCCATACTTGAATGCTAAGATAGATTGGATTTCATTATGTGACCTAGGCTACCTTTTGAACTCATGATCTTCCTATCTCAGCCTCCCAAGTGCTGGGATTACAGGCATGCTCAGCTCTAACTTTTTTTTTAAGCATTCTTGTATCAGAATCAAGTGCATGTGCGGGAGTGGATTGTATATTGCACTGAGATTAAAGGTTAATGTGAGCATCAGGCCACAGACTGGCACTTGAATTTTAACCCTTTTCAGGAAATTACTTAAAATTTCTGGTTCTCAAATGAGCATGATAGTAATAAAGGTGTCAAACTAAAATAAAAAATAAAAATAATAATGCTTCATTCACACTAGGGAGTAGAATAGCGGCTATAAGAGACTGCAAAGGGAAATGGAAGAAGGAGAAAGAATGGTTAATAGGTACAGGTATAGCACAACAGGGTACCTCTATTTTCTAATATTGAGTTTTATATTTCAAAATCACAATCTACTTGTCATTTCTACAATGACTTTAAATGTCCCTAACCCAAAGAAAAGATAAATGCTTAAAATGACAGATACGCCAGTGACTCTGATCTAAATGTACTAAAATGTACTAAATGTACTAAAGTGTACTAAATGTACTAAAATATCACAATGTACTTCACAAATACATACAATGAGTATGTGCCAATTAAAAAGTAGGTCTTTTATTTTTGTTCTTTGTAGGATTTTGTTTTGTTTTGTCAGTCCTGGGGCTTGAACTCAGGGCCGGGGCATAGTCTTGTAACTTCTCTTGCTCAAGGTTAGTGCTTTACCACTTGAGCCACAGGGCCACTTCCCACTTTTTCTGTTATTTGGTACTGAGGAATGGAACCCAGGAATTCGTGGATGCTAGGCAAGCACTCTACCACTAAGTCACATTCCCAGCCCTAAAATGTCTTTTTTTGTTTGTTTAAGGACACATTCTTTAAATGCTTCACTAAACTTCAGGTCAAAAGCAAATTAAACACTGATCAGACTATGTATCAAGCTGACAGTATAATGGGCCAGAAAATTTGTGAAAAATCCTCAACTACTTTTGGTAATTATATTATGGAACTATTATTGTGAAACGGTTCTGTAGATATGACTATAGAGGGGATATATATGTATATATTTGTGTGTATACATATTGCATATGCATTCATACACATACATAACTTATAAAATGAAAAATCAGAATGCTTATTATAGAAAACTGAGAAAACGAAGGTACTCTAACAAAAAGGAAACCCCTCCTAATTCTAAAATGAGAGTTAATCTGCATTTTGATTTCTGTTCAACTTTTTTCTATACATGTCACAATGCTTTTATTGCATAAAATGAGTAGTTCTACATAAATTGTTTTATGGGCTTGCTTTTTGTAAAGTTAGTACCTAAGACTTCTCAGTAGAGAATGCTTTCTTGAACAACTAGTATAAAAATAGTAGTTTTATTAGTTGTATTCCATAGAAAAGCTTCATGATGAAGAAAGTCTTCCTCCATTTGCAACAGTAGGAAATTTCAATCAACCAAGCCCAACCTACCTACCTACCCATGGGAAACTTCAACCTGGCCCATCTCCTAACCACAATAAAATCCAGAGTTTGCTACCCTTCCTCACAGTCACTCGAGATTACTTTCAATGCCTATCTTTCTCTCCCCATAAAATCTCACTGTGTTAGGAATAAATAGATTGATCTTTTCGCTCTTGGTATAAATGTGACACCGCCAGTCAACATCTAATCAGTTCTGGCAACCACAGACACTCTGAACAATTTTACAAATGAAATACCAAATAAAAACAGGTAAAAGGCTGAAGAGTTTTAAGAAATTGCTAACTAAGATTTGAATTAAACAATATTATTCAGTGCACAGAATGGACTTAAGCAGGACAGAGAAACGGTTTTATGGTTATTGTAAATCCCATGTAACAAATGACAATGGCCCTATTGGTGTTAGTGAAAATAAAGACCAAGTGGGGTGGGGTTTGTCTTGTTTTTTATTTTACTGTGTGTATGTGTGAACGCACATGCACATATGCCAATACTGGGGCTTGAAGTCAGGACCTCATGATATCACTTGTATTTTTCATTCAAGGCTCATGCTCTACTACCTGAACCACAGCTCCATTTGCAGCTTTTTGCTAGTCAATTGAAGAATCTCATACTTTCCTGCCTAAGCTGGCTTCAAACCTTGATTCTCAGATCTCAGCCTCCTGAGTAGCTAGGACTGCCACAGACATGAGCCACCAGCACCTGGCGAAGACTAAGTGATTTTGAGACATACTAAGAAGTTAGAATATGTAAGATCACATTCAACTAGTAAGTGAGCAACAATGAGTCCTTAGATACATAGTTTTGAAACAGATATGACATCTATTCATTGAAATAAAGCATAAGAAAGACTAGTCCCATGAGAGCTAAAACAATAAAATAGAAAGCAAAGAAAGCCCCCCCCAACACAATATATAGTTTGGAAACACAATAATTTTGATGTGCCTTTAGCATCTTTGAGAACACATGTCCAGTAGATAGTTGAATATAGAAGCTTAGAGTTGAGCTTGATGTAAGAGATTCATTAACAAATAGATGACAGATGGAAGATGCTGAGTAATAAGTTTGTCTCAAATATTACTGGGCCTTACAATAAGGATTCAGGAAAAGGAGAGGAAGCAATTTTTTCTTCACCAGTTTAGAAATCATCTACACAGAATGGGAGCTACATTATTACAGGAAGAGAAGATGCCATGTGGTATGGTAGAGACTGGTTAATGTGGGAAAGTTTCTGTCTCATGTTTGTTACTGCAGCTTCAGAATCTAACTTGGAACACCTGCACTTGTTCAGAGCCAATATCCTCTTACATCTGTTTTAGTTAGCTGAGTATGACAATGAAAATTAATGTGCAATCTGCGGCTTCTAGAGGCCTTAATGGAATTAATGCTTTGAGCACTTATTAAGAGAGTTGCCACAGTACTTCCTTGGTCCCTGAAAACACTTTTCCATTCAAGTAGAATGAACTCAGAGGTGGTGAATCATTGCTGCATACTTCGTCTCCATTGTACATTGCAGAAAGCTTAAATATTTTTATAATAGCTTTTACTGTTATAGTATAAAACTGATTTGGGATAT